AGAGATCTGGGAGGTGGGGGCAGACACAATTATACAGAAGGCCAGATGCTAAAACTGAGCTAATTAGTGCAAATTTGCACAGCAAGGAAGAAGACCTCTTGAATAATAAAAAGCAGAATGAAAATAATACAGAGCAGAAATTCAAAAACATTCATTTCAACCAAGGTTGCATCATTACTCTTTACAATGATTTGTGTGTAAACGTGGGAATTTGTTTTCACCTTGCCATTGGGGCCCAAATCCAGGTCATTAGCTGAAACCTGGAAAACCAAAGCTCCCGACTCTGCTCCTTCAGTGACAGAGGCCTCATAGATGGATGAAGTAAAAAAAGGGACGTTGTCATTTACATCTGGAGAGGGAAGAAATACAGATAGTGCTCAGAGTTAAATAAAAATGCTTCTCCATTTGAGATCTACTGGATTTAACAGAAATGTCACAGATAAGCGATGGGCTTTCTGAAGGGGACAAGCTAGTCTTACTTTTCACACTGATTAGCACTGCTGCTTCAGAGGAAGAAAGAAGGTATAACCAGGGCTGCACATAAGTGGTCCGCAGGTGCGCGTTCGCTGTCAAAATAAAAGACGCGCATCAGATAAGAAATTGCAACGCGCATTTGCATACGTAAGATTTTCTGGAGGAGGATGGACATTTGCTCAGAACTCTTAAAGATGTCGAAGAAGCAAGCTCCGTAAGCAATTACTTTGGTGTTCCCCCACCTCCAAAGAAACGTCAGAAGGAGTTCGAACCGCAAAAGAAGCGCATATTCTCGGAATTTCCGGGAATACGCTCTTCTTTTGCGGTGGAGGAACACCAAACTAATTGCTTACGGAGCTTGCTTCTTCGACATCTTTAAGAGTTCTAAACAAATGTCCGTCCTCCTCCAGAAAATCTTACGTACGCAAATGCACGTTGCAACTTCTCATCTGGTGCACGTCTTTTATTTTGACAGCGAACGCGCACCTGCGGACCACTTATGTGCAGCTCTGGGTATAACCCTGCAGAGGACATTCCTTTCAGTGTGGCGTTTGCATGTTATGCCCATGTCCTGTCACACTACACCCTCCAAAACATACGCACATATATCAATATCTATATATAGCATAAAAGTCACAGAAGTTTAAAACAAAACAAAAAAATCTTGGTTCAAACAAGATGAACTGAGAGGCTACAGCCGCGCTCAGTGTAAGATAAACTATGTTTATTATGTACAGCAAGTCATGCAAAGCTACTTGAGTCCAAAAAAAGGAAATGTAGAGCTGGAAATGAGCACAACAGACCTCTGACATCCTCACCTGCTTACAATAACTTAAGCTCCATTTTCTCCTTCAAAAACAACTAAAGAAACAACAGTAATTTTATTCCTAATTATATTTATACAACTGGTGATTCACTGGCAAAAATACTTTTCGTTTCATGTCTGTGAAGGTTCTCAGTCATCCAGGTCATCGTAGTCAAAAGAGCTTGCAAAGAAAAGCGTCTGGACTTCTTTAAGTTGCTTGAAGACGTTTCACCTCTCATCCGAGAAGCTTCTTCAGTTCTAAGGTCAAATGGTGGAGAGTCCCAGATATAAACCTAGTGGGAGTTTCCCCCCACAGAGGGTCCTCTAATCGCCTGAGTCAAGGTGTGAAACTGGGTGTGGGTCCCAATCAGCCAGAGTTTCGGGTGAGTTCATTGTGAAACCTGGCCCCACCTTATCATGCGAATTCCTGAGGTCAGATGTCCCAGGATGTGAGTGGGCGTTAAGGCGTCTGGGGAGGGAACTCAAAACTGGATTATAGATGGCAGAGAGTTGGTGTCGTAAACCACCGCCTCTGTTCAAAGATGGTCGCTCACAGTGGACATAGATGCTTCTTTTACTACTTTTCGTTTCCTACTTTCCACATGTTAGCGTTTGACTGCAGTTTGGCAGCAGTTTGGCAGCAGTGTTTCTGGGCAGCACCAAATGCACAGAGCATATTCTTCCTCTCCTGGTTGCTTTACATTTATTTGTACAATTAAGATCTTTTAAACCTACACTTATATGCTTCTTTTTTTAATAAAACAAAAAAACCCTCAGATGTTCAGAAATACTCTATAAATCTTGATCATTTGTAAATGGAGTTTGTGTTAGAACCACTTTAGCTCCAGTACAATAAAGTAGCCTTCATGTCAGTGTCAGGTCACATGGAGCCACATGCAACAAACTTTCAAACAATCTGTTTGTAATTAGAACTTCATTTTATTTTGCTCTGTAATTAGCTTGATTTTTTCCCCACAATTCGCATTGCTATTAACAGGCTGCTGCAAAGCACTGCTGCTGTAGACAAAAGTGAAGATAAAAAAGTCACTTTGTTTTTAAACATCTGTAAAAATAAAAAATAAAATAAAATAAGTGCATCTATGATAACTTATATCAGAGTATTAGAAACCCCTGTGCAGTGCTGTTTGGTTTGTTACCTGAAGCATCTCACCAAAGTGGCTCTTTTCCACTTTATAATGCAAACATAATATAAAGTCATGAAAACTGAAAAAACCCAAAAACCAGTCAGATGAGGATTTGGTTTGACTGCCCTTTGGTGCCAAGTGTTTTCTCACAAAGGACCATCTGGAAAATGGAAAAGGACAAGCAATTTTTTGACAGGTGACTAGATGAACCAGCTGTCTGTTACTGTCCACCACAGACTGACTTCAACCTACTGGATCAATGAAACACAAAACACACAAAACGCTGAAAAGGAAAAACAAGCTGCAGTCTGAGGGGCTTTGAAAGTAAGCAAATTACGAGTCAAGTATGCCAATTTACCCAAACCATCTGTGGTTTCTCTGTAAGCTCACTGTAAGCTCGCAGCTTTAAGACGGGCAAATCTCGCATGATTATGACGCCATGAAATCTTCTAAAAAACAAAAACGAAACAACTGGTTTGCAAAGTAACCACTTTCAACCAATTCTCATCATCATAAGGGATGAGTATTAGCACAATGGGACATAAAGCGGCGTAATCATGCTAGTCTTTATATTTACTGTAACAGCAACCAATTATGTCTTTGCACAGTTTTCGATATCGCAACTATTTTTCCCCAGTTGGGGTCAAAATGAGGATCAAAGCGTGCATTAGAGCGCTCAATACTGGACAAAAAAACTGGGCTTTTTTTCCACATCACTTACCTTGAACCATAACAAAAAGAAAGACAGAAAGTTATAAGTCAAAAGTTGAAACGCAGGCAATACCAAGAACCAGTGAGGAGGACGAGAGCTTACGTTTTCCTCAACAGCAGAAGCCAGATTTTAACACAGCTGATTTAAGACCAAAAGCATTACAGAAATGACTTGAACAGAGTCACGCATTAAATCTAATGCTGCTTCATATACCTTTCTTCTTTCTCCTTTCTTCTCAGCAAATGTCTTAATCTATGAATTAAAAATGGGGCCTTAAATCCATTACAGACCTCCCTCACTTCCTCAGACTGACTGCCTCTGGAGAAGTCAAAGAGCTTTCTTATTAAGACAGATAAGGGGGAGGAGGGGTGAGCGAAAAGAGAAGAGGAAAGTCGGGACTGTGAGAATTAATTATTTCTTAGTGGATTAAGACCAGTTCGAAATGGAGCATGTGTATGTGTGCATATATGTGTGTATGTGTTCATGCATGCATGTTACAAGGGAATTCATAGCTCGTGTCTGGTCAGCAGGGCATTACTATTAACTGCAACAGACCAAACTAATAATAGTAGAATAAAAATGATAGAGAAGAGTGACCTTTCATTGGAAAATGTGAGCTTTAAGTGACAGGGTGAGACCTGCAGTGGCAGCGCTGAGGTTAAGCATATATATGTATATGTCTATGCTCATCCCTCACTCCCATAAGCTGTCGAATTCTTCAAAATAATTTGGATTTGTGTAGTTTTAAACAACTCTACTGGAAAATTGGAGCTCAATTGGCAAACTTCGGCTGCCCTGCCATCTCTATTCAGTTTTATTTTCTTCTGTGGCCTCAATTTAGAAAGGACCAGTACAACAACAGATCAATGCTGAATAACAAGACAACAATAATAATCCGAACAATGAACTTTTCTACTGTACCGAGTCAAAGCATACCACAGAAGACGAGAATGCTCAAAAGAAAACGTGTTTTATCAGCAACATGCATGTAGAGCTGCAACTAACTGTTTTCACTATCGAATACACAACCTGTTTCCGCCTCAGTTTAGTTTGTGCGACTGGTATTGTAACACATTAACTAAACATCAGAGTCATGCAGCGACACCGCATTCTTCACTTTTTTAGTGTTAAAAGATCCTGCTGGGTTTAACAGAAACATCATGGCTCTGGTAAATTATAAAAAAGGTCACTTTGACAGCAAGTAAAACGATAAAAAACTCTTATATAACCAACAAATGACCAAACCATCACCTTCGTGTTGTTCTGTGCTGATTGTATACCCACAGAGTGTGGGCAAAGTAGTCATGAACTCTGACATTTTTAAGTGCAGTACTAGGTGTGTGCTGCTCTATGACCATATTGCTTTATGTGCCACCGCTGGCTGTCTGCAAGCTGTTTATGTGTGTTTGCTAATCGCTCCCTCCCTCTGCAACACATTTGTTCCTATGGACATATTTGTTATTTATACATATTATTTCTGGCTGCTGTTACAACCAAATTTCCCCTTGTGGGACAATTAAAGGATTATTCTATTCTATTCTATTCTATCCTATTTTTTTCTTTTTGTACTGTCAGATTCATTCATAATGAAATGTTGACGTTAACAAGGTCACTGCCTTGCACCACTCAAATTGGGATTTTTGGAAGCGCAATGCTGACTGTGTCACGGTCTGCTGAGACAGGCCGTGTGGTGGTGTGTGCGATGGACCCAGGTGCGTACACAAGTGAGTAGACGGGAGTGAACTTAACAGAAAGCGAGCCTTTATTATGGCTGAAGACAAAGTGTACAAACACAGCAGGGATAGCGTGACTAAACTAGACTATAACTAAACTGGGAAAACTAGTACTGTGACAAACTAAGAAGACTCAGAGACTATGATGATCACTGCAAAGACTGACCGTGAAAACATGGAGGTGAGCACACAGACGACGCAACACTGAACACAGCAAGACTGAGGACTAAATACACACATGAGGTGATCAGGGGAAGTGGAGACACATGAGGACACAGCTGACTAGAATGAAACATAAGTACAGCACAGGGGAGAGTAAACCTAAATGCAGTGAACAAAGAACACCAGACGCTTTCAAAATAAAACAGGAAACCCAGAGACATGAAGATAAATCATGACATGAACTTAACATAACCACACAGACATGAAACATGACAGGTAGACGCACAAATCAGGGAGACTGAGTACAGGGGGAGATGACAGAAACAACTAAAAAATGAAGGACTAAATAGCCACCTAGAAATGAACTAGTTCAAAAATGGATACAAAAATACATAAAACTCAAACACTGGGTCACACGACCCAGCCCATGACAGACTGACAAAATCTACATTGACACGATTTTAAAAACAAAGACTATGCTGAGAATCTATCTGTATTTACAAGTTATCAAGTTAGAAGCCACCGAATGTCTCATTGAACACTGTACTGTGAGGAGTATAGTATACATTACCTAACTGTGTGATATTTAAATGGCATCATGCGCAATCTTAAATTCAACTTAAGTTATTTTATTCCAAACAAATGACTGTGTAACTAATAACTGATGAAATTACTAGTGATGTTATCAGTTGTGTTGATGGTAAGTTAGAAAAGAAGATACTTTTGGAGTTATTTGGACTTATTTCCCAAAGATGCATAAAGACGCTTATTATCAAGTATTTTCTTGATTTTATTTTTCTATATCTCGAAAACTCAAGAAAACTTGAGAAAACTCGAGAAATTAATTCTGTTTGGAGCTTATTTTACGCAGCCCGACCAAAAAAACGACTCAACTGGCATTTTTTTGTTTTGTCACAGAACAGAAATTCATTCCTAAATTCTTACCTGCTTCTGACTTAATGCATCTTTGTGACATTGTCCTTGCACCTTTAATTATACCATGTTTTAACAACATTGTTTTGCTTATGTTTACTGTTCACTTAACGGGCATTTATTAAAGGCATCTATTGTTAAAACAGTAAGTTTTAATAAATAAAATGTGACACATGGAAGGCTAAATTATTCCACAGGGCGACTGTTGTGACAATTTCCATGAGATATCAAATGGAACATGTTACATTTGGAGATTCATAAATGAATGAATAAAAGAGGGCTTACCAGTCACATTGACATAGACCGTCGTGAAGGCAGCCAGTGGTACAGCAGCAACATTCTGAGCTCGAACCCTCAGCATGAAGTTCTTGGTGGTCTCATAGTCCAGGGGCTCTGCCACCAGGATAGATGCCGAACCATCCTCTCGGTTGGGGGTCAAGTAAAAACGAACTGGCATGTTGGTCTCTGGGACCATGCCATCCTCCAAATTATACGTTACTCTGGGATCTCCAAGAGGTGAAGTGGCTTTGATGGTCTTTTTGGAACAAAGATAAGAAAAGAGGGAAACAATAAATATTAAAATCTCCACAGAAGGAAGTTTAGTGTAGCCTTCATCCATGTCTGGGAAGACGTCTTTGAAATGGTCAAAGTCCACTAGTGGTTCCTCAGAAAACTCAATAAACTGCACAATAAATTATTTAATGAACTTCCTTTTTCCTCCTTGCTCCCATTAGATAAAGTGTCACTATAAATGACGTACTCTGACTCCCTGGAAGTTGTCTTACCAAATAAACGACTGAATTCACATTTAATACCCACAACAAGGTTTGGGTTTATTTGCCTCCACGTGTCGTTCTCATTTTCTCATATTTGGAAGTCACCCATAACAATTCTACCTGAGAGATGACCAACAGCACAAAAATCCAGAAAACCAACAGCAATTTGCATTTGGCAAATTTTTTACATGTTTCCAATTATGAACTCTGAGAGCTGGAAAAATGCTAAATTCCAGCAGTGACCCTCAGGACAGGAAGGGAAGTGTAAAGAGCTACTGCTGAGCTCCAATTGAAGTGTGCATTACAAATAGGGGGAAAACGATCTGCCCAAATGGGGAAAAAAGCATTTCACAGCTCATAATAATGAACACTAAAATAATAGAAAGTCTCAAACTGTTACACTAGACAACAACCCGCTGAAATGTTGTGGGATGAAAGGGAAACACTCTCTGCTCTTCATTCTGCTTTCTCCATAAACTAATTAAGGAGAAACTATTCAAAGCTGATGCCACACACACCCCAATTAAAATCAAAAATGCCATTTCGGGCACGATGCGGCTTGCCTATGGGTGACCTAGCTGTATCCATTCAACCTGCAGAGCATGGCAGCTACAATAATGAGACACCCTGCGAGGCATGCGGAACTAGCAAACATGTCTGACTACTATATGCCCCGATTTAGGACATAAAAACTCAAAATGTCCATGGCAGAGATTTAACAACCCACCGAGAGTCATTTTATCTTCGCTCAACAGTCAAATCAACACTGATCTGCCATCTCAATTTATGCTCCATACCGCAGGGACCGCGCTCTGTGTGCTTCCCTTTATCAGCATCTCGAACAAACACAATTAAACACACAGCGCTGTATAAAGTATTCTCCCGCGTCTTTTTATTTCGACCCTTTGAGTTTGAATATTCATCATAAACTTTAATGGATTAAACTGCTTTCAAGAGACTCTTAGAAAATACTGTTAATGGCATGAAAAGCCGTGTCCATAAATAACAAAGTGCTGTTGACAGGATACATCTGAACCACACAAGCAATGAATCAACAGATTTAAGGGTCTTTTGAATGTCTGCATTTTTCTGTAGCTGCGGTTCCTAAACCTGTAGCTCCACTGGCATCCCACACACTTCCTACACAGTTACACTCTTTTGTTGTTGCTCGCCATTAAGACCGACTGAATGCCTTTTAAACACATCAAAGCTGTGAAAAGATTGTGAGGGAAGACGGACACAAAACGAGCCTCTGCTCTACTCTTCAGACACGTTTAGGAAGGGATAACATCAGGATTAACATGCAACAAACATCTTTGGTCAGCAATAATCCACAAACTTTGCATAATATGTTTTTAAGCTTGATGCCACGATGCCAAACAATGATTTTTTTTTATGTTGTTTCATAGTCTGTACAATCTTTAATCTTTATTTTTTACTAAAACTGGGCCTTTTTTTCTCCAGTTTCTCCAGTTTATACTTGTGCATAAAAGCAGCATTTCCACATAACTCCTTTATTATTGAAGACCAAAGTAAAAAGCCCGCTGAGAAAAATCCCCACTAAAACTTTTTGAAAAAAAAATTTGTTACCATGAAAAATGGATTACAGTGTAGCAGGGCTTTGTGTACAGAAAGAATCTGAAAACACGAGCATTATACATGTGATAATTGCCCCCGAAAAACGAGCAGGAAAAGCCCGACTGCCAATTAGACACTAGATGAGTTTAAAACAAGACAAAAAACAAAATTTTGAATTTTAAAATGAAATTTAAGGAATACTTCAAACTTCTTTGTTTGAAGTATTCCTTCAAACAAAGAAAAATAAAATTATTAACGTATAAATATGGATATATATATATAAACATACTGTGTAAGTACTGATATCTAATCTGTTTGTGTGCTCTGGAGGAAGAGCGCACACTATCACAAAGCAACACCAATCAAAAAGTTGGTGGTTCAAAGCCTGACTCCTCCGTTCTGCATGTGCAAGTGTGTGTGTGTCTGTGTGTGTTTAGAGGAACAGAATAAAAGCTCAGTATGAATACATGTGTGATAAAGCGATTAGTAGAAAGTGCTTTTATTATTCAGTAAGAGTAGAAAACTATAAAACTATATAAAAGCCAGTCCATTACTTTTTCGTGATTAGATTACACAGTATCAACTAATTAATTTTGCATATTGTACGTCTGGTTATAGCTTCATTCTTTAAATCTCTTTCAAGTTTAATGCTGCAACTGTTTATTTTGGTGCATTCTTTCACCGCAAACAAAGACAACCATCTCTTTAACATATATTTTTTCATTCAAGTTGTCTTTTGTAGGATGTGCATGACACAGCTACACACATTCATATCTCAAGAAATCAAGGGCATTCATTCATCCATTCAGCTTTATCCACACAGAGCAGAGCGCACTTCTCCGATTTATCTGTTGTGCTATACCAGAGACTAGAAAGAGAGATCATGTTTCTCCAATATTAGCTTCTCTTCACCTCTTCATCTTTACCTTACATATAGAGAGCCCCTAAGGAACCGGTGAGAATTACTAATGTATATATAAATTTGCACTGAACTGAATTCAAACCCATATGTTTCTGTGCAACCCCGGAGCAACATACCACGATGGGTGTGTCCCGGACGGTGTTTTCTGGTATGACTACGTTGTAGTTGTCTTTTTCCCACTGTGGAGGCTGGTTCTTCACATTGGTGATGGTAACAGCCAGCTCCACTGAACTGCTCCTGTTTCCCCCATCTGTAGCCACAATGTCTCTGGTAATGTAGGTCCTCTGTGGAAAGAAGTCCACACGGGCAAAAAGACGAGAAGGGGGAGAGAAAGTCACAAGATGTTGCATTCAGTGTGACCGAGGGGTGCGTAATCGTGGCTTCCTTACAGACGGAAGAACAATGTGAAACTAGATCAAACTGATTTCAGCAGCCGATCCATTTTCCACACTTCAGCGCAGGATGAAATCGACGGTAAGCTGCATTCGGGTAAACATACTTAAAGATAAGTGTATTGATTGAAGGGCACGGCTCATTGTCGAGCAACGGAGGGGAATGGAGTTTTGCAACCCTTACAAGAGCAATTAGCTTTATCCACTGCAATCAGAGGAAATGATCTGTTCTGGTAAGTAAAGAGAAAAAAAACGTAACAATACTCTGTAACCACAGTGTGAATGAGCTGTCGTTATTTGGGGAAGTTTTGTCCAGAGCCTCGTGGTTTATGAACCAAGTTGTGGATGTTATGGGCAAGTTTTAATTCTTCAAAGAAATTTCATAATTCTGAGTGAAATAAAAGCTTTTCCAATAGCAATATTTATTGCAGTTACAAAAAAAAGCACTTTTTATTTCAATCTTTGCTCTCAGCAATTAAGACACTGAGGCTGTCATGCTGGCAAAGGATGAAGAAGTAAGCATGTAGGCATCGCCTGGATCTGTTCATTTGTACTCATTAGTAGGAAAAAAGTTTATATTTTCAAACAGGGCCATGTTCTGGCGAACAAGCCAGTGAAACCAAAAATACTGGCTTGGATCCAGAGGTGAGTATAAGATGCAAGGTGCAGAGGTTACAAACATTCATTCGTCTTGGCACTGGAAGATGGTGCGCCGCTGATTTTGGGGCTTTTATCACTACAGCACTCATCTGAGGTGCAGACTTGTTTTGCACAGGCTACGTGGCAATTTCCTCTATTGCTTGTTCATGTTCCCACCAAGATTGTTTTTCTTGTTGGCAGTGAAGCAGGCAGAAGCAGTGAAGTGAGAGAAATAACAGAAATTCTCCTGCAGGCAAAGAAAAAGGCCTTAGTGAAGACATTATCACATTCGCGGGCTGCGGTCTGCTGCTGGCCACAGGACTTCTGTCCCCTCACGGTCAACAAATAAAGGGCTGGAATGCAAATGTACTTGGATACTGGGAGAAGTAGCTTAGTTTAGTTAAAATCTGAAGTTCCCTGCTGCTTTTTTTATAGTTCTCCAGTAGAATTATTAAAGGAAGTCTCACAATTTCAGAGTTTTCCTATCATTTAGAATAGCTGGAGCTTGAAGCTCCAAGGAATCCTGCAAGATAAGTAGCTGCATAGGTTATTCATGTGTTTGCTATGCATCTGGAATCTCATTATGGACTTCCATAGGAACGGAAAACTATACGAGTTAAGCCTTTTAAAAAAGAGCAAATGGTATCCAGAACATAGCTAAAGTGTACCTGCGAGATGGGTTGGTTAACGTACACCCAGCCTGTCAGCGGGTTGACCCTTAGGTACTCTGGCTGCTCATTAGACATGGAGTATGTGATGGCTGCATTGGTCCCAAAGTCATCGTCGTGAGCCGCCACCCGTAAGAAACTAGTTCCAATCATAGTATCCTCACGGAGGAAGTCTGTAGGAGAAGAAGAAGAAGAAGAGTGCTTTGCAATTCAGTGGCTCAAGAGACCTTAATTTGTAGTCTTTGATATTGCATCCGTCAGCACAAAGGCAAGAGAGAAACTCGAACTTGAAACAATAAAAAAAAACAATAAAACTGTAGACAAACTTTAGTAAACAAAACTAATTAAGAAAGGGATTCAGCAATTTGACAACAAATATGAAGCTTAAACAACCAACAACAGAAAGCAGAAAACAAAGACAAAAGAAATTCCCCAGTGACATGAAAAACTGAATACATGAGCAATTAGTAAAGAGCTCCAATTCTGAGTAGCAGTATCTCTTTAATACTAAAAATCCTGCCATCATAGGAATACTAACACCAACACTGTTAGCTCATTAGCGTCAGTTTTCCTTGTCAAAATAGGGAGAATGTTTTAAATCTATATGCATGTGCTTTATTCTGCGATGCAGCAGGTCGAGCTAATATACTGACACTCGTATCTGAGGTTCTCAAACTTGGGACTGTTGTCATTCTGGTCCAGAATGAGAATGTTCAGCTGACAAATGCCAATCAGCGGGTCAGCCGCCTGGTCAGTGGCAGTCACTGTCACCGCGTACTCCCTTTGCCGTTCGCGGTCAAATTTCCTGGCCGTCACAATTACTCCTAGAAAGACAGAGATAACAAGGTCGATCAGATAGCTGAATCATAGCAAACACTGCTTGGTCTCGTGTCCCCCAGAGTACTTGTAATTTAACGATAAAATGATTGCCTCTGCCTGCCTCGAAGCTAAACTTTAAACACAGTAGGGGAGATGAGAGGCACATTATGAAAGAAAATTAGACTTTTTCAAGAGTAGTTATCGTCAAGTCCAAAGAGAATTGTCTTTATTATTTATTTTAGAAATGATTTTTAGCAATGCCGTTTACAATATCTCATGCTCCACTGTTGCTGCTGAATAAAAAGCTCCATAATATATAAACATATTAATGCACGATAACTTTTAGCTCAACAACAGGTAAAGCTGCATAACAATTCAGTCCAATCTGCAGATACTATTTTTTATATATAATGAATCAAGCTGAAATATGCCTGAAATAAGCGTAATAATCAAAAACCCAAAGTGGCTCGTGTCCAGCACTTTTCCCATTTATTCCCGGCACAATATCAACCACAGACTGACAGACTGAAAGGAACATGTTGTAAAATATTACCCACGTGGGATAAAAGCATATGTGTTCTGTATGTGTATGCGTGTGCACACGAGTGCTTGTGTGTTTCCGTACCGGTTTCTGGGTGTATACTAAATGCAGGCACAGTAGAGTCTTTGTGCATGAAGCCATATGTGACCCTGCCATTGGAGCCTTCGTCAGCATCCACAGCGTGAACCTGCAGAACAAACGTCCCCGCTGGCTGGTTCTCCAGGACCGATGTGCTCTCACGGTACTGCTGACACTGAGAATGAGTGAGGCAGGGAGGACAGGTGGGAGGAAGAGAAGACCACAGGAGTGGAAGTGTGAAGAAACTTAGATCAATACGCCATTCCATCCAAACAGTCAGCAAAAGTGTGTGGGAAGTTAAATGTTCAAAGGACAGATTTAAAATGACTACGGTGGTCTTTTACTGGGGGACAAAAAGCGTAATGTTGAAAATAACCACAGGAAAGAAAGTGGGAAGCCTGTGCCCAGCAAGTTTTCTTTTTCTTTAAAAAATATCAGCTTTTGCTTAACCAGTTGATACCGGGGTGGTGGAACAAATCTCAGATGCCATTAGGCAAACGCTCTCAAAAGCAGTTTAGCAAAGTGTTTGTTGTTGCTTTTGTGTTTTGAAAAGGTGTACAGTGTGCATGTTTTCTGCTAAGAGCCTTCAGCAGAGTTCAAGGAAATAGAAAACACAAAAAACAGCCATATACGGAGAACCCAGCACTCCCAACATGTGTGGATCACGCCCTGGAAGCCTCGTAGTGACCAAACAGCAGGCGTGCCCTAGATATCCTACGGTCTATCAAAACACTGACCCTACAATGTGAATTAAAAAACAACAACAAAAAATGTGTGTTTAAATGCTCTGTAGGCCTGACAGTCTGACCCTTCATGACACATTCATGGTGGGGTGAAAAAACAAAACAAAAAAAACACCCAGTGGGTTCTGGGGAAGAAATGCCATCATGCTGCTAATCTGAAATGGAATTCTTTGGGCTTGGACATGGACTCATGCACTAAAGACTTTCAGGGAACAAGAAACCATAAGATGTCTCCGTAGGTTCTCAGTTATCCAGGTAATGGCAGTCTAAGTCGCTTTCTTTCTAAGCTCTTTAGACTAAGTTACAATAAAGGTTTACATACACTGGGCAGGAACGTCACGGCTATTTGGGACTTATGGTGATTTCTTTGAACTTTTCTTTTTCCAGGGTGAAATAATTGTTCAGGATGCATCTTAAATGACTTTAAGAAAACAAAAATTGGATGTACTTACATTTAAAATGGGACAAAAGTATACATACAGGCTCAAATATGTACATACACCAACACTAATCTTTGGCCTTTAGGAAGACAGGCCTCAACCACACGCTTTTTGTAGCTACAAGCAAGCTATTGAGATAATTCTGCCTGGATATTTGACCCCTCTTCTTGGTAGAATATGTGCAGGCATTTGGTTGTCCATGTGGGTCGCTGAAAACTTGGTGAAACCTTCCAGCAGTTTTCAGACCATGGCAGGCTTGAGCCTCAGTGGCTTCTGGGTTGTTCCTGAACATCCGAACCATTTTCCTTTCATCTGAGGCTGACAGTTATGGTTTTCGTCCATATATTGGCAAAGTAGTGACACATACCAAAAATTTGTACTGTTGAACAGTTGTTTGAGATTATGATCTTGGAATCCGCAGTTGTTTAGAAATGACTCAAAGAAACCTTC